CAACCCTGGTAATATGTTCATGTGAAAAACCCTCCTTAATTTTCGACAAAGAATCATCCCCTAAAATTATTCGCATTCATTAAGTAAACACCCCGTATAGTTCCTCGATGTTTCATTTGTCATTTAATAATGAGGAAAATTTGTTTAATAGATGGAAGGAAGATTATTTATAGAGCTTAATGAAGACGTTTTGGGTCATTATACCTGTTGGCGCAATAAAACATGTTCAAACGCTGTACATTAAATTGTTAAGAAGTAAAGTGCAACTAATTATTCAAAGTTAAAAAGAACTTCACTGTGGAAGAATTTGTTTTAATAATACAACAAACGTTACATAATTCACGGCTACGTTTGCAGCATACGCTTGTTTCGCGCGCTCACGGACGACTATAAAATATCTCTCGGAAAAAATTAATTGATTATCTCAGAGGACGTAAAAGACCATGGACGCGCCCGACCAAGTGCTCTCCAAGTACAATTTCATAACGATGACCTACTTCATTCGCTAACTTGACCAGCGAAAAAGACAAAATACAAAATGCCTTCGGCAGATTACAGAAGTGCTCGGGGTGCACCTGGCAAAGTCGGGCGGAGTTAAACGAGCGGAAACGCAGCGTCTTCCGGGGCGGAAGACGAAGATGAGAGGGGTAGCCAGAAGTGAACTCTCTAAAAGTCAATCAGTGGATTCGATAATCCGAAAACAGTGAATAGTCACTGACTTACAGTTACAAGTATACCAGTACGATTTTCAGTGGTGTATTTATAACTGTAAATCGACTATAAAATAGAATGTTTCTGGACGCAAAGAGCACATTGTTAGATCAGACTTTAGGGAGAAGGCGGCAAGAAGACGAAGAAGACACGTGGCGAGACAGACTTTACAATGACATCCCGGTGGAACGACCTCTTCTCCTCGTCGTTTCTCATTACACGGAACAACCAGCCCTCATTACGCGATCGTCATAAATAATTTCTCCCGGCTGACTCTCCGCGATCGCCGTCGATCTTCCCGGCGGGGACCCACGCATCGATTTTACGATCCGGTCGGACGCGATCGCGAATGTAATCCCGTAAGCTCCCTGTCCTCCGGCAAATCGGAGAAGTAAACCGATCGATGGCGAGGCGAGTACGTCCGCGAGCCCGTCGCGTATATCACGTGTGTCGTCCCGGGCTACCTTGACGAATCATGCAATCGTGTCAGGCATCGATCGCGATAATGCGGCGTCACTATCGCGCGGCATTGTGCGTCCGTGCCTATTGTTCGCGCAAACACGATGAACTGGGACAATGTTCTTTTACAGCGCCGTGTTTAATCCCACGCTCGAGTTCCGACGTATTCCTCCGTATCGTGATGAACAAGCGGGCGCAACAGGGGTTTACGGGGGGGGGGTGAATTTTTCATAAGCCCCACGTCTCCCTTTCGTTGCAGGCCTGGAAGCTCGGGATGCACGGTGGCGATTACGCGTGGATTCTGCCAGGCGAGACCATCGACTCCTTGGGGATAACCGGCGATTGGTGGCACGTCGGCGTCGGAGAGTGTTCGCCTTCGCAGCTGTCGCAGACTCTGGACGGTTTAATCATCGTCAAGAGTCACCCCACGGTCGTGGGCAACGAGACCAGCGCCTCAGGATTGGTATGTCGCGTTTCTGCTCAACCTGTATAATAAATCTATCCCGTTAAATTCAATCGGCCGATGAGACACCGCGCTCAGTTAGACTGTTATAAACTGATTAGAACGAGGTCTGCATTCACCAAGTTTCCCGTTGATTTATATGTATCCGGTGTATATGATTTACAAGACCCGAAGATGGGTCGAAACGTTTGTTCTTATTAAAGAGCAAATTTGACTTTTATATATTGCGAGAACCGAGTTCCGTTCCATTTGCGGCTCACATTGGCACTTTCTCCTTACTACGTACTTTCTTTCTGGGAGCCTTCACTATCCTACGGAATTTTTTGTACGCTGCCTGCAAGGTACGTTTTCCGACCTTCTTTGAATTTATTAGATGCTGTTTTGGATTGGAAACCACCATCTTACTCGAGAATTGGATCAAATTTCACTGAAGAAGACCCGAAGGAGGGTCGGAACGTTTGTTCTTGTCAAAGAGAAATTTTGACTTTTATGTCGAGAGAACCGAGTTCCGTTCATTTTATGGCTCGCATTGACACTTTCCCCTTACTACGTACTTTATATGTATCTTTTCATCGGTCGTTTGTTCTCCGCGACAATCGTGCTTACAGTATCCCGCGTTTATGAGGTAACAAGTTTAATAATGAAAAAAAAAAGAAAAGCAAGATAACGATCGTTCCAGACCGTTAATAGCGGCGATAATTGCAGAATTCCGCGTAATAAAGGCGAAGGCGAAGATGCGAGAAAGCTTAGTCGCGGAGCCGTTGCAATAATAACGCCCGGCTGCTGCTACAACCCTACCTGGCGCGTAATAAATGAAGTCCCGCGAGCGGAAATTAGAGTGTGCAACGAAGAAAGCTGGAGGTCCTGGCTATAAGCGAGCCTTCCATTCTGTTCCATTAAAGGCCCCGCGTAGTAAAACCCGTCAAAGTAGAAAGGGACCGAGTCGTAGCGTCTTTTCGCACCCTCCAGAGCCGGGGGTTAATCAGCCTAATGACGACCGGCGAGTCGCCGTGATCGACATCTGCGTTTTCAAAAGTCATCGTCAATTTTGAGCACTCGCGAAAATAACAAGTCGCAAAAATAGACGGCGCGTCGCGGCGCCGTCGTATGCGGATTGTACACGTCGCGCTTTTCACATCCGATCGACGTCTTCTCCGAACACGTTTCCAATATAGATATCTGTCCCGGGTACGTCCCGGGACACACGCTTCCTTCTGCGATATCAACATGAATAATTTTGCCGCGTATCCGTGTAGTTTTTCCGCACGATCGAAATAAAAATAGAGTAAAGAGAAATAATATTTGGCACAGCGTAAACAATTTCTGTGTATACGGCGCCTTATTTATAAACATTTTTCAGAAAGCATATTTTTTCGACAGCCAGAATAAAAATCTATTGTTAGCAGAAAATCTGCTAATTATGCTGCTCGAAAAATCAAAGTGCAAATTATACATAACGGATTAATGATCGACTCTTTAAATATCATATTGAAATATGTACATCAGTGAGCGTACTTGGTGTTGCAACTGAACATTTTGCCACTACTTTATTGATTATGATTTAGCGATAATTAGTGGCGATTATCTATAAATATATTTACAATCGATTTTAGATTTTGTTAAATTTTTTAAGTTCATTTAATATTTCTTTCGTTTCACTGCTATTTTGTTAAACTTTCAATATTAATATTCGTAAGCACTTTCGAATAACAATACAATCCCTGATAATAGGAAAAATATTAAGTTGACACGTTTATATATTTTGTACACCTCTTCTTATGCACTTTTTAATATCTCTCTGTTGCAACGCATTCTTTATTTGTATCTTACAATTCAATGTTTTATTTTTTTTATTTCATTTTTAAATTTTAGAATAAGGACGCGTGTATTCAATACTATTGGCGAGGCGCAGAAAATCAATTTTTGTTGTATATGTGGTTACGTCAATGTTTTATAAAGTTAGAATTTTCCAAAAAAACTAACGCACCATGCATGAAAGGACGTGTATTTTTTACATGTAATTTGACAGGTGCACTAACAGGTGTTCCTGAAAAACAGGTGCGAAACCATATGTAGTGCAAGTACTTTGAAATACGATATTGCGAGAAACGCGCACTAGCTACCTTCGCTAGATCAAGATCACGGTGTATAATCGATTTAGTCACCAATAAATATCTATTATAGAAAAGCCGCGGTCATCGAACTTTGGTCTGTTTGAATAACTAAAACTGTAGCTTTCAATGAACGTTGTTTAACTGGAACAATTAATTTGCGAGGCATAACCAATTAATAATGAAAATAAAATTGATAAAGTTGAGAATGAATTTCCTTGAAAATTCCTCAAAGA